ATAAAATCCCTTCTTGTCACAGTTTGGAATGTGCACACCCCTGGGACTCAGCACATTGAGGAACTTCAGGTGATTCAATGTGTCCTCCATTTCTCGACGGCAGGGACCCTGGGGATCAGAGAGTGCCAGAACAAGAGAGTCATGATTACTACTCTGGAACACATGCTTTTACAAATAATATAACGCCCATAGAATTATTACAGGTGGGACCTGTAATACACTCCAAGGTCTTTCGCCTGATTTAGCAAGAAATTCCCAGGAGGATGCTAACTAACATTGCTCCGTCTCTCTTTGGTATCTCCAGAGTAAGGCACAATAGCAGGTCAAGAAACTTAGAAGATCAAGTGAATAAAATGAAACCATCTTTATGAGAATATTTTCTCTATCTACAGAGGCCTTTATGACTTACCATATGCTTTTACAAGTGTTATTTCAGCACCACTCTCATAAGATTCTCTGAGATAGGAAAGGGTCAATGTTCTGTATGTAAGGAGGGGAGGGGTGAGGGGTGGGGCGGAGGAGGTAGAGGCTGTGCACACGTCAGCCAGAGCTGCTGGGAACTGTCACATATAGATTGTCCTCCTGAGGCTCTGAGTGCCCAGGAGGGGGTCCCACCTGCCTCCTTTAACAAGACAAAAAGCTCTCACGTATTCCGTCTCCCGCTTGGACTCGGAGGAGAAATTCTGGGTGTCGGTGCTCTGAGACTCGTAGTCGACTTTATAGCGCTGGCTGTCCTTGGCATGGCCTTTCTTGATCACGTCTATCTTGGCGTGGGGGAGGTGGAACTTGGTGTCAGGCACCCGGTGTGTACTGGGAATGGCCTGGCTCTCCACGCTGCCGGCACTGCGGTCTTCCTCCGACTCACTGGCATTTCCTTGAAAAGCACAACGGAGACAAGGACAGGATAGTCGTCGATGTTGAACAGTCTTTTCAAAATCTTACTATTGCAACCACGTCACATCTAAATGGAAATGTTATTCAACAATTCCAAATAAGTTTTTTAAAAAAACGCACCTTGATAAAGCATTCTTCCATGATACCACCTGCTACAGGGTGGTCACTCTACCTGAAGAAGCCATCTGCTTAAAAGTCAATCTGACATGTGCTTTTACTAAGTAGCTGCAACTAAAGAAAGCAGGAAAATGCTCAAGTGCCACCCAGTGGACCGGGAAGGCAGCACGGCTTCGTCGTCCACCAGCAGGGGGCAGACCAAGCCACCCAAGGCTGCAGTGGCACTGGTTGACTCAGAAATCCTGCAGGGGCTGCAAGTGCGAGTCCTCCCATCCACCACCTGAGACCTGGAAGAAATGCACATTCTCCACCCCAGAACTGCTGGGGTAGCAGCCTGGGGTTTTAACAAGCCCTCCTGGGGATTCACTCAAGTTTGGCCAGCACTGTCTCCAGTGCTACCAAGGTAAACGGGCCCTACCTGAGTTCAGATGGGGCAAAGTTTTCTCTCCCGTAGAGCCTCCTTTTGTAACGAAGAGTGCTAAATGAAGACAGCCCAATACTTGACATGGATGCTGGAATATTAACAGTTTAACTGGGATTTTAAGTACATAACTAACTAAATTTGTGGCTGGATGTGTGGCTAGGATTCTCTCTCCATTCCTTTTCCAGGATGAACTTGTAGCAGCTGTGGGACAACGGTGGAGATCAAAGGCTACCTTTAGAGCAGATGCTCCCAGGGCCAGAGGACTCGCATCTAGTTCATACTCCCAAAGGGATTCAGCTTCAGTCCACGGGTGACTTTACTTCGACAAGCAGGGACTTAATGCCTACTCCCAGCAGAGGGCTCAGGTCATCCATCTGATCCTGAATCTATTCTGCCTGAAGTGCAGAGCCTGGCTCCAGTTGAACTATTTCCTGCCTCCCAGGGAACGTGTCCCAGTGTGTGGCCGGCTGCCTGCAGGGAAGCCGCCTGGCCCCTGGCTCTATGCTGTGAAGCAAATGCTTAGTTCCCAGAAAGTTCGCCTAGGGTTGAAATGATTCTGCTCTCTCCTGGAAGCCCTACTGGCAGGCTTACCCACAGGGGAGTCTTGGGGAAGTCCCTCTCCTTCTTGGGTCTTGGTTTCCTCACCTGCAAAACAGCCCCCTGAGGTCCACCTGCAAAGTTCCCCAAGGGGTTTTGTGCCTTGGGGAGCACCAATTCCCAGGGTCCAGCCCAGCTCCCAACAGAGTAGGTCCCTAATTGATAGGATTTGCTTTCAATTTCCTTTAATCTTAATTATTTCCCTCCTTTTCAAGGAAGTACTGGGACAAAGGAGATGCTAAGAATATGTAAATAAACATAAATAAACATATTTGTATTTCTTTTCCAAGAATCCCAAGTAATTTCTTAAACTTCCTTTGTTTATTTATTTTTTAATGCCTAGAGTGACTAGGGTATGAAAAGAAAACAGTTCCATTTAAGCAACAGATAATTGTGACTTTTGACTGTTATATAAATTTACCTTTTTCCCCCCAAGTGGATTTTAGAAGTTATTCAGATCTTTTCGTGATCTTATAATAACCTACATTAACCTATACATAGAGCTACTTTGGCAGTAATTACAACGATTATTAAATCCTACCTAAAATGTCCATGTTTCTAAGTATTTCTAAGATCACTTTTCAAATACCCACAAATGCACTAGAACAAAAAAGTACACATACAGCAAATAAAATAACTCTGCCCTGAGGGACAAAAGCATCCAGTGACTTTAACAGTTGACTAGAGCCAGTGTATGTTTCAGGCAATTGGAATCTTGCCTTTCCACTAATCTGGTGTTTCTCAGGAATGAATAAAGCCAGCTTGCCTACCAAGGACATATCTCTGCCCGGAAGTGGAACTCTGCAGCTACAGAAGTTATAAAGACACCGTCCATCTTGCTAGCCCTGGATGGGGACATGCCCATCGCCATCAGTCCAGCTTGATGGGTGAGGGCGATTAGGGTGGGGAGAATTCTCCCAGCCTTCAGCTGCCTTGGGTGGGAACTTTCCTCCATAAACTAAGTGACCCTGGCTAAGCACGCTTCAAATTTGGAGGAACAGCTGCCAAATCCACTTAAACTTCTGTTTGAAGGAAACCATGTGATGCCCTTAACAGAGCTGCCCCCTTCCCGACAGTGTCTGAGCCAGGAGGGATCTCTCTGCCAAACATTTGCATTCTTCCTCTTCTGGAGCTCCTTCAGCTGCCCCTCATTCCTTCCACTTCAGATTAAGGAAGGAATCAGTCCTGGGACTAATTCCAAATACCTTCCCTGTCATTGAAATCCGCTTGGTCCAGGTCCACACTCCCCGCAGCCCCATCCAGGCACCTGGGCGTTTGTCTGAGGTTCGCGCAGGCGTGGGGTGGCATAGGGTGTACAAGTGGGATGGTACCCAAGTGGCAAACAGGTTCAAACCTACACTCTATTGCTGCCTCTGGGTGACCCTGAGAAGGTACTTCTCTCTGAACCCCAAGTTTTCCAACCGCAAAGATCCCAATCCCCGAATCCCACCTCCTTCGTTTGTGGACACACCAGAGCGTGACATTGCTTTACAAACCAAAAGGCTCGCAAATGTTAGCATTTTAAATGACAGATACCATTTCCTACAACGTGGCTGCCGACCTTCCCAGATTTAAATTCGCCATCCGGGCCGCCTGCCTGCGTCCCCAACCCCAAACATCCCCGGGACTGACGCTCTCCCTGCGAGTTTGTGGAAAACAGAAGCTGCGATCCTGAGTTGGGCTACACTGCCTGCCTCAGCGCACCTGCGCTGGGCTGGGAGAATCTCCTGTGTCCAGGGTCTTTCCATAGATAGCTAACCACGGTATCCGCTTTCCCCAACCCCCAAAACCTTTAACCCGTTTTCATTTACAGTGATTTGCAACTTATAAGCACTCTGCACTCAGAGAACTGGGCAAGTAGAGGGTCGGCCGCGGGGGATCCCCGGGCGAGCGACCTCGCCTCCCGGGAACTCAGTCTTCCCACGTACGACCCTCGGTGCGAGGAAAAGAGAGGAGTCTCTTCCCGCGGCTCCACTGCCACCCCCTGGCCCTTTGTGCCGGGGCCCCGGGTGCTGTGCGCGGCGCGGTCAGGACGGCGCACCTGGCGCGGACAGCTCACCTGGCGCGGGCAGCGGGGGCAGNACTGCCTCTCCTCCGCTCCTGGGTGAGGGCGTCCCGTGGCCAGCTGGTTGTGGGGAAAGTGGGATGCGCCGCTCCTTATTCGTGTGTACCATGCTAAACATTTTAAAATTTAATTCCACCGGTAGAGGGAGGTGTGAGGTATTAGAGTGAGAAGACTCCATTCGCATTGGGGTCTCGGGGAACGGAGGCGCTGCGGGGTTTAATCTGCACGCGCGGGGCCCTTCCCACCCCCGGGACCCACAAATACGCGTCTGCAGATGCGCACGTGCCCTTCGCTCCTGTCCACGCTCGCTTCTCGGGTTAGCAGAGTGGGCGGCAGCGAATGCGTCCTTAAGGCAGGGTTTTCAAAGATTTTAAGTCCCAACTCTAGGTAGCATTCTCCGAAATTAAGTTTCAGAGAGTTTACACCCCCCACAAATGAATAATAAAGACAATAAAGCGGGCACTGCTGAAGCGTAATTCTTATAAACAGTCTTAAAATTGGTAATTTTCACTACCGTTTTTTGAAGGCCACTTTGTATCCATCCGATACGTTGAAGTGGTGGCTGCGATTCTAGCTAATCTGCGCGATCTAAACACTAAAGCGGTAGAGTTTAAATCCGGAGGCGCAGTTGCGCCCTGGAGGTCGCTGTAAGCCGTCTCCAGTGCGCGGGTCTTCAATTGTGTCGGCGCGCCCCTTCCCTAGGTGTTTCTAAAGGCTCTTTTACAAGGGGCTCGTGGATGATCACTGGGAACCAGTGCGACCACTGCGGGAGGCGACTTCCCTGTGCGTTGTTGCCTTAGGAGCTGGGTAGGTGTCTTGGAGGAGCCCTTTGTAGTTTGCAGTAGGAATAGCAAATTAGGACCCCCTTCGGCTTCCTCACCAGCGCACACCCCGGGGTGAAGTTAGCCTTCGCCCACCCATCTCTGTTTCTCCCAAACACACACACACACTCTCTCTCTCCCGCATAACCCCTCCGTCTGTCTGTCTGTCTCTCTCTCTCCACGGACATTTATCCCCCTTTTACAAATATATATCCTCCTTTTAGAACGAAAAGACATATTTAGTTACTCTCTTTTTAGTTGTAGCTAATAATAAATAAATAAATAAAATAACCGAGCCTCTGCAAAGGAAGAGACCAAAGACAAAAGAGCGGAGGGCCGTGGTCTCCACCGCAGCCCCGCAAAGGCACGACACCCTCGTTGTAGTACTGGCGCTCCCTGCACAGCGCTGGGGCTGGGGCCAGATCAACCCCGTGTACAGTAAACTGTGCGTCAGTTGCTGCTTGCCGTCTCCTTTCTGCTGTATCCCTGCCTTGTAGCTGTGTGATATCTGCTTTGACACCCAAGAACAGGGTTTCTGATTTCATTGGAAAATTAAAGGCAACAAAACAAATCCCTCAGGGTTACATTTGTTCCTTAAATAACCACAGAGACCTTGACTCTGAAATTAGAGTCGGGTTCTGTATCAAAAACGATTCTGGAGATGGCAGGTCTGCCCTTCTGTTTAGTACAATGTTGTACATGGAGCCCGCACTGATCACAGGTCAGAGTAGCACTTTCTACCCAGCTTTATCATCTGGCTAGTGGATAGGGGAAGCTCAGAAAGAATGCCTTTTTAGAAAGGATTGGGGGTGGGGTGGGGAGAAAGCCTATACTCCTGGTTCTGATTTTTTCTCGAGCAGAGCCTTTCCCTTGCATAGCAGTTTGTAGGGGAAGCTCAGAAAGAATGCCTTTTTAGAAAGGATTGGGGGTGGGGGGGAAGCCTATACTCCTGGTTCTGATTTTTTCTCGAGCAGAGCCTTTCCCTTGCATAGCAGTTTGAGAAATGGGCGCTTATTCGTGCCGAGTTCCTAGGGGGCGCCAGAGCACCAGGCGTCCAGCCCGTCTGCAGGGATGTGCAGGAGTCCGTGCAAAAATTTAGGATTACATTGCAACTTTCAAAGGATATTCCAATAACAGTGTTTTATAGACTGTCCTCACCTTTATCATGATATCTTGCAACAGCGGAGCAAATCTGCGTCAGTGATGTGGGGAGAATTGTTTTTATTTGACAAAACTTCAGGGAACCCCCGCCCTCCCCCCAATGTAATTGTTGCAGGAAGAATTTGGATGGGATAAAATTTGATTTTTTGACATGCTAGTTTATTTTGTCAAACTTTCAATTAATTTGGTGGTTGTATTATTAACATAAAATAGAGTGTTTACTGGAACGATGTTTTTCCCCCAGTTGAAGGCACTTGGCATACAATTGCTAGTAATTGTAAAGTAGTCCATAACCATTAGAATAATAGTCAGGAGACTGCATACACCTCGTTTCACTAACAAAATCCAATTGAACTGATTATATCAAGCGATTCCTGGGGCCGGCCTGGTTATCTTAATCAGATGCCATAAGTCGCTCACTTCTTTGCGCCCACTCTGGCTGCTGTCAGGAACATGTCACCGCATCATATTGGCTTTCTTGCTTCTCTTCTGCTCAGATCCTGGCTGGACAAGCTGCCCTTGGGTCTCTCTTCTCAGGCACTGCTGACAGCAAGCTCCATCTCCAGGTGTCCCCAGGGGGGTGGCTTTCAGGTTGACCAACCACCACTAGACTTGGAGTGGAAAGGGCCAAACTCTGAGAGGCAAGTGCTGTTGGGGACCCAGTTTCCAGGACTCAGTCTAAAGCTCTGGCGTTTCCCCCTAGAGGAGGCATGGGTGGGGCCAAGGAACCAAATTTCCCTTTTATCAGCTCTTCTGCTTGGTGAGCCTTCCAGAGTTATGTATTTTGGGGTTGGGGATGCTTTAGAGACTGTGCCAACGTTACTGCTGCAAACAGCACTGCAAAAGACTATTACCCACAGATACCACCATTCAGAGTTCATCTGTCCATTTAGCCCATAGATGGTTTCTGAGCACCCCCGTGTGCTGGCCACATGGGTTCCCAGACTGGCTGGAGGACTCACCGGAGACCAAATAGCGGTGGGCAGCGTGACTGCGATGAACACAGAATTTACCAAGTGCATTTGTAACCCAGCAGACGAATGGCAAACCTGCCGATGTGGTCAAGAAAAACTTCTGAGAGGTGGTGGCACTTGAGTTGAGTCTTCGGTGATGTGGGAGAGTCCAGCTGAGGGAGGCAGGCAGGGGGAGCAGTGTGTGTGTGTCCAAGGAGAGTCACTCTGTGTGCTTGAGGGCTCAGAAGGGACAGCACTGGCACGTGTGTCTTAGGGAAGGTGGAATTCTGAGGTTTAGAAGAGAATAGAAGATGACTTGATAAAGTGACCTGGGAAGGTGGTACTTGTGGCACTGGAAATTCATAGTCCAGAGCAAGGGACTCCTCAGAGTTAGTGCTGTCCTGTTCTGTCTGACAGTTTGGAGATGGATGACAGTCTTCCAGAGAAGGGGCTTGGACATGTTCTGAACAGAAGACAGGTGGGAAGGGGAAGATTCCCCCTAGTCCTCCTGTCAAGGCTGGAAGGGTCCTGCGGGTGCACAACCTATCCCTTTCAGTGGAGATGCAGGTAATCCCTCTTTCAGTCTTTGCTGGATTTCCTAGAGAATAATCCACAGATTCCATGGCACCCCCCCATTTGATAGATAGTTACATTTTCCTTTTTTATTAAGGTATAACCAACATGCAATAGACCACAGATTTGAAGAGTACAATTGATAGCTTTGGACATACTTACACCCTCATAAAATCATCACCATGTAATGAACACTTCCACCTTTTTTATTAAGGTATAACCAACATGCAATAGACCACAGATTTGAAGAGTACGATTGATAGCTTTGGACATACTTACACCCTCATAAAATCATCACCATGTAATGAACACTTCCATCATTCTCAAAAGCTTCTTGGCCCTTTGTAGTCCTGAACCCTCCTTTTCTCATCCTCTAACAACTGCTGCTCTCCTTTCTGTCACTCTAGATTAGTTTGTGTTTTCTAGAATTTTATATAAATGGTGTCATACAGTATGTACTCTTTTTCATCTGACTTTTGCTCAGCATAATTATTTTGAGATTCATCCCTGTTGAGGCATGTGTAGTAGATCACTTTCTGTTGAGTTGAATTCTATTGCTTGGATATATCATGTTTTGTTTATCCATTCATCTGTTTATGAACATTTGGGTTGTTTCCTAGTTTTTTTTTTTTTGGCTATTGAACATAAAGCTGCTATGAACATTTGTGTACAAGTCTTTGTACGGATGTGTGCTTTCAGCTCTACTGGTGGAAATGTCTACATTATTTTATATATGTATATAAAAACGTATATATAGAAAACACGCACACACACACACATACACACACACACACACATATATGCTTGATGTTTTAAAAAATGGCCAAAGTGTAACTGTACCACTTTACATTTCCACCAGCAGTATATGAGAGTTCCAGTTTCTCGACATTTTTGCCAATACTTGGTATGGATAGTCTTATTAGTTTTATTTATTCTCTTAGATGGGCAGTGGTATTTCATCTTGGTTGTAATTTACATTGGCCTGATGACAAAAAAATGTTGAGCAGCTGCCACGTGCTCAGTTGTCATCTGTATATTTTCTTTGGTGAAGTGTCTAATAAAATCTTTGCCCAAACTGGGCTTTTTTTTCTTATTGAGTTTTGAGAATTCTTTATATATGTTGAATACAAATCCTTCTTTACCAGCTATGTGATTTGCAAGTATTTTCTCCCAGTCTGTGTCCGGTCTTTTCAATTTTTAGCAAAGTGTTTTGAAGAGTGAAAATTTTAATTTTGGTGAAATGTAATTTATCATTTTTATTTCTTTTAAGAATCATGCTTTTGGTATTGCATTTATGATTTTTGCCTAACTCAAAGTCAGTGAGGGTTTATTCTATATTTTCTCCTAACATGTTTGTAGTTTTAGAACTTTTACGACTAGGTCTATGGTCCATTTTGAGTTACTTTCCAAATATGGTATGAGGTATGAATTTGAGTTATGTAAATATCCTATTTCCAGCACTATTTGCTGAAAAGACTGTCCTTCCCCACTGCTTTGCCTTTGAACCTGTGTTGAAAATCAGTTTTAGGTGTATTTCTAGGCTCTCTGCTCTACTCTATTCTATTCTGCTTTGTTCTGTTCTACTTGATTTATTTTGATCT